GGCTGTCGCCAGTCAATGTTATTGTAATTTTTAGATATATGCTTCAGACACCGGTCACGCTGAAGGCGTTCCCCATAGTGACCCCTAGAGGACGCAATTTGATCTTCCCTCAGAAGGGAACTCCTGTGCTCCACGGCAAAATACACATGAGAGCAGTTTTTTACATTTTTCACATCTGTGTGTAGTTTGGCGTGTATGTGGTTAATTTTTTTATGTTTGTGCGTAGAGTTACTACGCAAAAATAAAATTTTTAGAAGAGTTAATACAGTTTTCAAAGAAGTGTTTGCTTTTGCAAGATGTGTGTGACGTTTTGCATGTTGTGTGTGTGTTTTGTGGTTTTGTGTGTGGAGTTTGGAGAAATTGAGCCATCATTTCAAAAACTGTGTGAGCATTTTGAAAAAACTGTAACAGTCAAGTAGACTTGACTTGACATGAACAGACTTGACGAGGCGTGAACAGACTTGACATGAACAGACTAGACTCACCAACAGCGGGATAAATACATTCAATACACGACGACAGACAATGGCAACATGATGGCTACTTATAGGAAACAAGAGGGTCACATGACAAGAACAAACCAATGGGAAACAAGACACATGACTAAAACAACCAATCAGAACATGACACATACACAAGGCTGAGATACATGAGGGCAAGGGAAGCATGACACAAACAGCATAAAAAAATTACAAAATAAAAGATATGGAAACATGAACAAGACAAAACCCAAACACCACATTACAGTTAGGTAGGTTATTCCAGAGTTTGGGCGCTAAATAGGAAAAGGATCTGCCACCCGCAGTTGATTTTGATATTCTAGGTATTATCAAATTGCCAGAGTTTTGATAACGCAGCAGACGTGGAGGACTATAATGTAACAAGAGCTCGTTCAAATACTGAGGTGCTAAACCATTCAGGGCTTTATAAGTAATAAGCAAGATTTTAAAATCCATACGATGTTTAATAGGGAGCCAGTGCAGTGTTGACAGAACCGGGCTAATATGGTCATACTTCCTGGTTCTAGTAAGAACTCTAGCTGCTGCATTTTGGACCAGTTGGAGTTTGTTTATTAAACGTGCAGAACAACCACCCAATAAAGCATTACAATAATCTAACCTTGAGGTCATAAACGCATGGATTAACAACAACCAATCATGGCTTTAAAACAGGCCTATAAATACACATCTACACAACTACACATGCTTGATGTATTTCTTTTCTTTCGTACTGTGTAATACTGTATTCACAACCACAAATACTTACAGTAAAAAAAGTTTGGTTTCAATCTTGCTTTTGTGTTTACCGTGAATTTTTCAACATCTCTCTGCCAATTACTTTCAGTCTTGTACAGAAATGTACACAGTAGCTCATGAAAGACGAGCTTTAGGTTTTGAATAACTGTGTGTATATGATATATCCAAAAATATAATATTATGGCAAAGGTGTTTGCAACGTAAGACAAATATTTGCTTTTGAGATGTGTTTGTGATATTTTGAGGCATTTTGCATTTTGTGTGTGCAATTCTTGGATTTGTGTGTAAAGTTTTGAAAAAAAGAGGCAAAGTTTTGAGAGTGTGTGCAAGTAGTTGGAAAAAACTGTAAAAGAGGTATGAAGGCCCCTACTGGAGTAAGAAGCACACACACACACATATATACATTATATATATATATAGAGAGAGAGAGAGAGAGAGAGAGAGACGTTCAAAAGTTTGGGATCAGTAAGAGTTTCAATGTTTTTTTAAAGAAGTTTCTTATGCTCATCAAGGCAGCATTTATTTGATCAAAAACTACAGAAAAATTGTAATTTTGTGAAATTTTATTGCTGGTTTTTATTTCTGGTTTTCTGGTTTAAATTAAGCTCAGCATTTTTTTCATAGTTTAAATAAAATGTCATGATCCAACTGCAGATTAAAATTGCAGATATTCAGTTTAAAGTATTGAGACTGCAGCTGAGGCTCAGTGTCAATCCACAGGCCATTACAGCTTTTCATTAAAGTTCATTATCTAAAAATAAAGAATGATGTCCTCATTTATTTTTGATAGAATGAGTTACTGCTAAGGGTTGTTTGCCAGTGATGGGTTACATTTTCATGTTTACGCCAAGATCCTTCTTCAGAGCTTTACAGCTGAACCAGGTTAAAAGTCTGACAACAAATTATTTTGTTGTTATTTTGTGGTTTTCTGGGTGGTTACTAGAGTGCTCCTAGGCTATATGAGGTGGTTGCTAAGGTGTTACTAAGAGGTTAAGTAAGAAGTATCGACTTAGTTAGTTAAATGCAAGTAAAATAGAAATGAAACTCATCACCAGCATTAACATGGACAGTGAACAACTAACAAGATGACTAGAAAGGTAAGTTTGATTATCATTACATTGTCCCTTATGTGTAATTAACTTTAATTATTAAGTGTAATTATTATTAACTTTTATATTTACATTTGTGCTTGAGTTATTGTTATTTTTAATCTGGAAAAAAGCTTATTTTAAATCTCTTTCCAAGACTAGACATTAGTAGTTGCTTTAACACAGTTGAGTCTTACAGAGATTGGTAATGCATGAATGCGAGTATGAAGCTCTTTAGTGTACTTACGATACTATTACTCTAATTGCGATTGTCTTAAAACGATCTGGTAAATAAGACTAACATCATGTAATATTTGTATCTGTGTCAGAAATGCTTAAGTAGGTTCCTGCATGGAAATTCAAGTACTAAAGCAGGAATACATAATAATTATCATCTTCTTCCATCTCTCTGCTCATTTCCAGTTTGTTATTTCAGTTTTACACACTTCTAATGGCTATGCGAGTCTATTGGTCTTCAGCTGTCTGTTAATTTGTGTAATTTTGTTGATCTCAGATATGTAGTTATTTTCCAGTCAATGTCAAAACTATTTGTAAAGCTCTTTCACAATACACATGATTTCAAAATGTGGGATAAATGTATGATTATTGCATGGTTAAATCCATGATCAGTGAGCCTCGTGTGATGTTTCTGAGCAGTAATGAAAGCACTAACACATGAATGCATCATGAATGCTCCCCTGATTTCTACAGGGGTCTTCAGGATGGGTGTGCCGTGTGACTGACTTTGGATCATGTCCTTGTCCTTTTTCTTTCCCTTGAAAGGACAATGCAGTGTGTCCAACCTTCTTTCCTAGAACCTTTGAGAAGATGACAGGAGGCTGTGGAATAAATTCTAAGGCGTTGACACCTTATAAGATGGGAACGTGGACAATAAAATTCTAAGGCATCTTTTCCCTAAGGGAGGACATATTAGGACTTTACACAAATATAGCTGGTCGGTCAGCTATGCCATCAGGGCTTTGCCAATTGTCAGCATAGGTCACACGAGTTATTGTGGTGTCAAGTTGTAAACTTTGATATCAAATGGTCATTCACTTTAATCTACCCTGTCTCTGAAACTTATTTAAAAGAATATTGCAGGAAGCTACTGATTCAGTCTTTAATTATTGGTTATTCCTTTGTTTAGTCATTATATAGGAAAACTTTATATTAGCATTTATCTTTATTTATTAATTTATCAGGTGCTTTTATTCAGCAGCTTCAGCAACGGGTACACAGGCATGCTGTTCGTGCATTGATTGTTCGACATTCAATAGTGGAATTCAGCTGAACTTGCCAGGCAACATTTCTTAAATTTTTTTTAATAATTTTTAGCATGTGTAATTGATCTTGCAGACATTCTCTGGCCCTTTGGATGCTTTGTTGCTCAAGTGCTTTACATAAGACAATTCACAAGCAAGAGTTAAATCTTTAGACAGAAGTGGTGTGATTGAAGCATGAAGATTGAGTGTTGCTAATACATGTCACGAGAATGTATCTTTCATAGTTTTGGGATTATTTGTCCATTTTATGGGAGAGATAAAGTCTTGGCATTTGTGACTGGCAGCAGGTACAGACTATATTCTACCTAGTTCAGGCTAAATTAGTATATTAGTAGTTAGTTTTTCAATGAAATTTGAGAATTATATAATTGGATTAGATATTTTTATAATTTGATTTTTTTTTTAGATGGCTAACTGGAAAAAGATTATGCATTTGAGTGCATGCAAATTCATGGCAATGAATGAAGAGGTATCCTACCAATCAAAATTGCAGTATGGAGTACCTCAAGGCTCAGTACTAGGACCATTACTTTTCACGCTTTACATGTTACCCTTGGGAAATATCATTAGGAAACATGGTTTTAGCTTTCACTGTTATGCTGATGATGTATTTCTTCGCAGCCTGACAAAACATACCAATTTGCAAAACTAATGGAATGCATAATTGGTATAAAAAACTGGATGAGTAGTAATGGGTGGTTGCTCTGCGCGCTTAATAAACAAACTCCAGCTGGTTCAAAATGCAGCAGCTAGAGTTCTTACTAGAGCCAAGAAGTATTGACCATATTAGCCCGGTTCTGTCAACACTGCACTGGCTCCCTATTAAACATCGTATACATTTTAAAATCTTGAGTGAATCCTGAATGGTTTAGCACCTCAGTATTTCAGCGAGCTCTTATTACATTATTGTCCATCCATATGTCCATTAAAGGATTGTTAGGCTGCATTAATTAGGTCACCTGGAACCGGGAACACTACCCATAACACCCGATGTACTTGTTACATCGTTAGAAGAATGGCATCTACGCTAATATTAGTCTCTTTCTTTCTTATTCCGAGGTCAACCTAGCCACCAGATCCAGTCTGTATCCAGATCAGAGGGTCACTGCAGTCACCCGGATCCAATATGTATCCAGCCCAGATGGTGGATCAGCACCTAGAGAGGACCTCTACAGCCCTGAATGTCAGCGGAGACCAGGACAACTAGATGAGCCCCAGAGACAGATCCCCAGTGAAGACCTCATCACCTAGACGGCCATCGGGACAAGACCATGGGAACCAGATGAGTCCTCTGCACAATCTGCCTTTATTATAGCCTAGAATTAAACTGCTGGTTTCATCTGGTCGGAGGAGAATGGCACACTATTTCGACTCACTATTTCCCTGTTTAATACTATAAAGCTGCTTTGACACAATCTGCATTGTAAAAAGCGCTATATAAATAATGGTGACTTGACTTGACTTTTGGGAGGGCTGGTTGGTAGCCAGCCAGACTGCCAGTTTATATATTTGGTAATAACCTGGGCTCTCATTTATAATCGTTGCGTACGCACAAAACCCGTCCTGAAAGAAGAGTATGCCACTTCCTAAGCAAAAGGTGGGATTTATAAAAAACAAACTTGACGGGAAAATTTGCGCACCTGCACGCTGTAACAATTAGTCCACTGAAGGCGAGTTGAAGTGAGAACCCAAGTGCAGTTTATTTAACAAAGACAAAACATAATCCAAAAAGACTTGAACAGGCTTGACTTGGCATGAACAGACTTGACAAAAACAGACTTGACTCACCGACAGTGGGTTACAACATTAAAGCTAAACAAAGAACAAAGGCAACATGAGGGCTATTTATATCAAACAATGAGGGTCACACGACAAGAACCAACCAATGAGAACATGACACATGAACCAAGGAACCAATCAGAACATAACACATGAATCACATGACAGAACATGACTGTGGCCAAACTACAAAATAAAAGACATGAAAACAATGAACAAGAAACAAAACCCAAACCCCACGTTACACACGCAAACTCTGACCCATGCATACAGACTTTTTTTCCTGGAGAAAGAAAAGTAATGAAGTAAACAAAGATTTTAAACTGTTTTCATTTCATCATTGTAATGAATCAGTCCACTGAAGGCGAGCGTAGTGAAGAACCCAAGTGCAGTTTATTTACAGGTGATCCAAACATCCAAACAATAATCCGAGACTTGACTTGACGTGAACAGACTTGACTTGACATGAACAGGCTTGACGAGACATGAACAGACTAGACTCACCGACAGCAGGTTACAACATCAATACACGACAAGGCACAATGGGAACATGAGGACTATTTGTATCAAACAAGAAGGGTCACATGACATGAACAAACCAATGGGAAACAAGACACATGACTAAGACTACCAATCAGAACATGACACAATGAACCAGAGCGGGGAGCCATGGCGGAGCAGGCAGAGCGGGGAGCCATGGCGGTGCAGGCAGATCGGGGAGCCATGGCGGAGCAGGCAGAACGGGGAGCCATGGCGGAGTAGGCAGAACAGGCAGCCATGACTGTGCAGGTAGAGCAGGGTGGCCGGGTGATGACGGGGACTCAGGCGTGGCGGCCATCTTGGCCGGGGACTCAGGCGTGGCGGCCATCTTGGCCGGGGACTCAGGCGTGGCGGCCATCTTGGCCGGGGACTCAGGCGTGGCGGCCATCTTGGCCGGGGACTCAGGCATGGCGGCCATCTTGGCCGGGGACTCAGGCGTGGCGGCCATCTTGTAAAGAATGCCGGCATGACATGAGCAAGCTCTGGCTTCGCAGACATGACGTTAGCAGACTCTAGCTTGGTAGACATGAAGTGAACAGGTTCTGACTTGGTAGATATGACATGAGTAAACTTTAACTTAACTGGCATTATGTGAGCAGGTCCTGGAGTAGCGGGTATGACGTGAGCAGGTTTTGGCGTAATAGACATGACGTGTGCAGGCTGTGGCTTGGCAGGCGTGACGTGAGCAGACCCTGGAGTAGCAGGCGTGACGTGAACAACTCCAGACATGACGGTCGGGATGTGAAGAGGCTCTGGTGTGGTGGGCACTGTAGTATTGCGGGGCTCCTTATCCGCAAAACCCACAGTGTACGATGAGCCGCACAACAGCAGAACATATTCAATGTATTGTTCAAGTGACCAGTGTGTTCTGTAACGAATTCGTCCACTGAAGGCGAGCGTAGTGAGAACCCAAGTGCAGTTTATTTACAGTGTGATCCAAACATCCAAACAATAATCCGAGACTTGACTTGACATGAAAAGACATGAACAGACTTGACTTGACATGAACAGGCTTGACAAGGCATGAACAGACTAGACTCACCGACAGCAGGTTACAACATCAATACACGACAAGGCACAATGGGAGCATGAGGGCTATTTGAATCAAACAAGAAGGGTCACATGACATGAACAAACCAATGGGAAACAAGACACATGACTAAGACTACCAATCAGAACATGACACAATGAACAAGAGAACCAATGGCATGAATACATGAGGGCAAGGGAAGCATGACACAAACAGGGACCATGACTAAACTCCAAAATAAAAGACATGAAAACATGAACAAGAAACACAACCCAAAACACCACATTACAATCATATACATTTACATTAAATATTCCACTCTCATTAATGGCGATAAGCACTGAAATTACATAAAGTCATTACGCAGAAGTTAAACCAATATGATTTTAGACATAGCCTAGTGGATGCACTTGATTACTTTTCCTGTGGCGTGCTCACGTAATCCTCTATAGGCCTGTCACCTTGACGAAGGCAGAGGAGGTGTGAAACTGCTGGGTTCATTTTAATAAACTAAACTGCAGATCTCATGTTATGAGAAAATATTTTAGTGAGAACAATGATCAATGATGCACACTTACTTCAATATTATGGCAGACACTGCTGGATTCAGTGGTCGCACGGTCCATTGTCCGGTTTGAATAGGTCCAGTGATAATAGATTACTGTACAACCACATCTGGTTGTACAGTAAGGTGTTGATGTCGTGTGACGGCATCTCCACAACATTATGAAAAATACCACTGTATTTAAAGGATACAACTTGAAGAAAATGGTAATTTGCATGTTTTCTTTTTAAAATACTTTGTCAATGATGCGCAGAGTCAGACAATTCTATTTACACTGCAATAAATATAGGCTAAAAATATCTAAAAGATGTTCACCTTATCAGCAAAACTGCATAAATTAAATTTGATTTGAATTGTTTAAAACAATTGAAATACTATTTGGCCATTGGAAAAGAATAAGATCAACTTATCTGAGAACTATTTTAAACAGTTTTGTTTTTATGGATTTCACGTGAAAAATATACCTACAGAAAGCATATATAAAATATATATGTATACTGTATATGATTGTTGATTCCTGTTAGCTAATGTATTAAGAAATGTTAATTAATGGAGCTTTATTTTAAGGTATGTTCATTTTCTATTTGTTTTAATGTATTTTCTCATCCCTGTTGGCGTTCCATACGAATATACCATACGTGTCTTGAATCTAAGAGCTGCATAATAAATATAGATTTACACACAATTATAGCTTAATGTAATGTTGTTAAACTGGCTAATATGTCAGCCATCTTGGACTCTTCAGTTACTGTTGTTGCGATCAACCATGAAGATTAAAGTTCTGTGAACAATAACTAGCCGCACCCATAAAAATAAAACTTATTACTACAATACAAAGTTCTGTCATGATACTCTAGATGGCGCAGGCCAATAGGTCCTAACTCAATCTGATATAGTCACAATCATTATTCACATGTCGCAGGTTTTTGTTGCATCAGGAGCCAATGAGCTTGCTGCTCAACATTAAGATACTTGGCCAGTATTTGCCGTAGCAGTTTGCAGTGCGCTTCAGAAACCCTCCACCTTTGAATAAAAAGCAGCCAATTATATTTAGAAATTTGATTTTCACACAATGTTATGTGCATTTGGTTAATTTAAATGCTGTTCCCTTTCTGTTACTCACTACGATGTTGTGTCGAAGGACTGCTAGTGGGCACTTGGAAGTACAACCACACCCAGGGCATACTGTGTGCCCTAGGAGTTGGAAGCACACTCTTCTAGAGGTGTTGCTGCCTCCTGGGCTCTAGAAAACTACACCTCTCTTGCAGACATCTGTAGAGCTGCGCGCAGGGTGGACTACACCCAATACCTTTGAGATTCTATAATCTCTGAGTGGAGCCAGTTTTCAAGCCCTTTGAGATGAGTGGAGATATGGATACTTTGGGCATTGGGAGGGTTAAGATGTTGTGAGTGCATTTGTTACACTCTCTCGGCTCCTCAGCACAAACCTGAATAAGTGAATGAGTAATTCTAATCCACCTTATATACCCGTACGTCCAGGTGAGTTGCTGGCATGCACATTTCTTTCACCAAATCTGACTGGCCTTTTCTGAAACATCATAGGTGTTTGGGGCTCCCAGTTGTGACCCTTACTGTCTCTTTTTGGACATTGCCTCATTTCCTCCATCAGGAAATAGATGTTACAATACTAAAAGAGGAAATGCTATCCTGTTTTGGCCATTTAACTTTCATTGGCATAATTTTGGATAGCATAAAGACAGCATTTTCAACACAGGAACTTTCATTGGTTACTGAAAGTGATAAGCTTGGATTGTATATCTATGCTGTATTATGTGTAACATATGAAGTTATAATGGTTATTTTGTAATTTAACCTATTTTTTAATTAAAGTATTTGTGTAAAAGTATGTTTACATCTGTACAGTTTAAGGTATTTATTATTTTTCTATTAGTTTAAGCATCCCCTGATGGTTTTGGCATTGTTGGCTCCGTGATCTACCAGTTTAGCTAAAATGACAAACAGGGAGTGCCTTGAGAAAATATATTTAATGAACATTTAAGACACAGCACAAGTAAGTCATATTATATGCTTGCTTGTAGATGTGATGTGATGTATCATCTTCATTCTTCATCCTTGCTCTTCAGTAACAGAAAAGAAAAATTTAGTTACATGCAATGCATATGAAGATCCCTCCCCTCCCCCCTCTACCCCTTGAACAGCTTTACAATACCTTCCCAGCATCACGGCTCTTGGCTCTCAGCTTGTTGACCTGGGACTCAGAGATGTCAGCACGCTCCTGAGCCTCCTCCAGCTCGTGCTGCACCTTCCTGTACCTGGACAGGTGAGCGTTGGCCTGCTCCTCCTGTTAGGATGACACAAGATATCCAACCCCTTTCAGAGCATTGCACTGGTGACACTGAATGTATTGTCTAGAAAATATCAAAACCTCACACATAAGACATTTGACATTAGACTTACAGCTTCTTCAGCCTGGCGCTTGTAGGCCTTCACTTTCAGCTGCAGCTTGTCTACCAGATCCTGCAGTCGGGTCACGTTCTTCTTGTCTTCCTCAGTCTTTGGGTGTAAGCATTGTTGATGGTCTTAGTTAAACTATGTATATTATAATGAAATGTACATTTCTAAATCATGTGTAGTTGTACCTGGTAGGTGAGCTCCTTCACTCTCCTTTCATATTTGCGCACTCCTTTCACGGCGTCTGCACCACGTCTCTGTTCAGCTTCAACTTCAGCCTCCAACTCGCGCACCTTCAGTAGAGAATCATTGTTGTCACCTGTCAAATCTCTACCATAGCCAGTTATACCATAGCTAAGACTGTATTTAGCTTGTACTTTACCCTGGACTCCAGTTTCTGGAGCTGTTTCTTTCCACCCTTCATGGCCAGACTCTCAGCCTCATCCAGACGGTGCTGCAGGTCTTTGACAGTCACCTCCATGTTCTTCTTCATCCTCTCCAGGTGAGCACTGGTGTCCTGCTCCTTCTTCAGCTCCTCAGCCATCATGGCAGCCTGAAATATAAGCCAATGAAAATGAACTTGCCAATATAGACTGAAATGCCTTCCATGAAGGTTCCCTTTGTTACCACATGCAGATAAACAAAGTCAAATAACTGTTTAAGTTAGAATAGAGCAACAAAATGTAAGCGCTCACATCAGTGATGGCCTTCTTGGCCTTCTCCTCTGCATTTCTGGCCTCCTGGACTGCATCGTCCACCTCACCTTGAACCTGGACCAGATCAGCCTCAAGCTTCTTCTTGGTGTTAATAAGACTTGTATTCTGTGGGATTTAAGCAGGTAGTTTAGTTTACATTTAACTAAAACTCTGTTATCATGTAACCTGAATTTGCTCCAAGTATAGTTTTTCTGTACTTGTGAGTGCAGCAGTCCCACACGCTCGCTGGCATCCACCAGCTCCTGCTCCGCCACTTTGCGGCCTCTCTCTGTTTGCTCGCAGGCAGCTCTCAGCTCCTCAATCTCTGCTTGCATCAGGCTATTCCTGCGGTCCACCATGGCCACCTGCTCCTTCATGTCCTCCTGTCCTCTGAGAGCTTCATCAAGGTGCAGTTGGGCATCCTGTGGCAATGTTCTTTCTTTGTTAATTGCATGTCATGATCCATTTAATTCATGTATCATATTCATATTATCAAACATTTAAGATGTATTGCAGTTCCTCATTCTACAGAAAGATACCTTGAGTTGGCCTTGGACGTTCCTGAGCTGTTTCTGGGCCTCAGCAGCCTGGCGGTTGGCATGACTCAGCTGGATCTCCATCTCATTTAGATCTCCCTCCATCTTCTTTTTGACTCTCAGGGCATCATTTCTGCTTCTGATCTCAGAGTCCAGAGTGCTCTGCATGGAATCTATCACTCTTTGGCTGTTCCTCTTGATCTGTTCCATCTCCTCGTCCTTTTCGGCAAGCTTCCTGTCAATCTCACTCTTCACCTGGTTCAGCTCCAGCTGCACACGAAGAATCTTGGACTCTTCATGCTCCAGGGTGCCCTTTAAGGAAAAAGGGCAAAATTTTGACTTTTCAAATTTATTATTATAAATGGCAGCATTTATGAGGAATGAACCGTTTCATGTTCAATGTCTAATATTATTGAAAGCAATGGAATCATAATGTTAATATTGTAGAAAAGGAATAGCACCTCAGCCTCTTCAAGTGCAGTCTGGATCTCTGATTTCTCAGATTCCACTGTCTTCTTGGCTTTCTCTAACTCATGAATGCTCTTTCCAGTCTCTCCAAGCTGCTCAGTGAGGTCAGAAATCTCCTCTAAAGGTGTTTAAAAAGTAGAAATATAACATGTTCTGTTTAAAAACATCTATTTTCTTACATCTTTGGTGTACAAAAAAAAGTGGCATTTACGTTGCAGATTCTTGTTCTCCCTCTTCAGGGTCTCAAGGTGGTTAGTATTGTAGCAAAGGAATGGCACCTCAGCTTCTTCTAGTGCAGTCTGGATCTCTGCTTTCTCGGACTCCACTGTCTTCTTGGCTTTCTCTATCTCATGAATGCTCTTTCCAGTCTCTCCAAGCTGCTCAGAGAGGTCAGAAATCTCCTCTGAAAGTATTTAAAAATCAATTGTACATCATTTTCTGTTTTTTAATGCATCTCTGTTTTTTAAAATCCTTGCTGTAAAAATAAAAGTGCCATTTACGTTGCAGATTCTTGTTCTCCCTCTTCAGGGTCTCGAGGTGGTCAAGAGCTTCTTCATAGGAGTTCTTCATTTTGAAAAGCTCAGTGCTGAGAGAACGAGCTTCTTTCTGAGCACCTTCTAGTTCAGCCTGGCTTTCCTCATACTTCTGTTTCCACTCTGCTAGGACCTGAAGAAAAAGGTAATCATTGTTAATTAGCCAAGTCCATGGATCAAGGTATGGATTTAAAGATTATCCACATCCTTCTCACCTTGTCAAAGTTTCTCTGCTTCTTGTCAAAGTTGGCAGCCAATGCATTCGCCCTCTCCACATCAATCATGAGGTCCTCTACTTCACCCTGCAGTCTCTGTTTGGTCTTTTCCAGAGAAGCACACTTGGAGTTCACCGCTTCAATGGATTCTTCAGCATCCTGCAGACGCTGGGCAAGCTTTTTCCTGAAGAATGTGGTATGAAATAATGAAATCTTACTAACATTTGAGATATTAAATGTAAGGTGCTGGAGACATTGTTCTTTGCTGTATTTACTTGGATTCCTCAAGCTCCTCAGTGCGTTGAATGGCATCAGTCTCATATTTGGCTCTCCACTGGGCCACCTCACTGTTGGCCTTAGACAATCCCCGCTGGAGTTCAGCTTTGGCCTCCTGCTCCTCCTCATACTGCTCTCTGAGTAAATCACAGTCATGGCGGGAAGACTGAACCGCATGGGCCAGAGCATTCTTGGCCTGTAAGGCAGCATATTTTGAGTTTTCCAATAATCTTTATAATTATTTAAATTATCAAAATCTAATTTTCAAAAAAATAACTCCTTCATTTTGTATAACTCTACCTTGACTTCTTCCTCAATATGCCTTTTGAGTTCCTCAATTTGCTGTGTATAAACCTGTTTTCCTCTAGTTAGCTGTGAAACAAGTGCCTCTTTCTCTTCCAGTTGGCGGCTAAATTCACCTTGAAATCACGTTAGAAATATTACTATGAAATATAATAATATAGACACTTTTTAATACATTTGTTAAGGTTTTTACATGTGTACCTTATTTGCCATGCCTTACCATTCTCAGTCTGAAGTCTTGCACGTTGTGCATTCATGTCATTCAGCTGACGAACATTTTCATCACTCTTGGTCTTGATTTCACTCAGCTGGTCTTCCAGAGTACGGCACATCTTCTCTAAATTAGTCTTAAAGGTACAGGGTTATATGCAGATGTTTGTAAAGATGCTTTTATATTTAATTATCCTCTAGTGATATTACCTTTGCTTTAGCCACAGCCTCCATGTTGTTTGTCAAGTCATCAATCTCCATCTTGTATTCACTCTTCTCCTTCTCCAGCTTCTGCTTGACCCGCTGGAGGTTGTCGATCTGTTCTCCGAGTTCAGCCACACTGTCTGCCTGCTTCTTTCGGAGAGCTGCAGCTGTAGCTTCATGCTGCAAGGTAGACTCTTCCAGATCACGACGCATCTTCTGGAATTCGGCTTCACGCTTCTTGTTCATCTCAATCTGAGCAGCAGTGGCACCACCAGCTTCCTCAAGCCTCTCACTGATCTCTTCAAGTTCCCTGGAGAGATCAGCTCTCTGCTTCTCCACTTTAGCACGAGCAGCTCGCTCTGCCTCAATTTCCTCTTCCAGCTCCTCTATACGGGCCTAATTGAGGTTCTTTATTCCTTTTGTGATATTTGTAATGTGGATTTGCCCAGCAACTTCACAGTTTCACATAGAAAAGATTATGGTCAGCATTACCTGAAGTTCTTTGATCTTCTTCTGAAGCTGTGCTCCCAAAGACCGTTCATCCTCAATCTTGCTGAGAAGCTGACTTATCTCAAAGTCCTTCCTGTTTTGAAAGTAGTATTTTGTAAAATGTGCAAAATACTTTTTGTCAAATGTGTAATCGTGGGAAGGCTGACATCCACTCACTTTTTGATCTTCTCATCTGATTGCTGTTTGTCATTCTCCAGGTCCATTATGGACTCCTGGGCCAGTTTCAGATCACCATCAAGCTTCCTCTTGGCTCTCTCAAGGTCCATACGGAGCTTCTTCTCTTGCTCCAGTGAGCCCTCAAGCTGTTTTTACAGAAACCAGAGCATTAAAAGCTGGTAGATAACAACAAAAAGAATTAACTTTGATTTGTGACCTTATTCTCATGCCAAACATCTTACATCATCGACTTGCTGCTCAAGCTTTGTCTTAGCTTTAGTCAGAGTGTTGACTTTGTCTTCCTCTGCCTGAAGGTCATCAAGAGTCTGCTGGTGTGCCTCTTGGAGGGCTTTCTTCTCTTTGCTCAGCTTGGCAATGCTCTCATCCTGAGAGGCCATCTCCTCCGTCAGGTTTTTCACCTAAATGGAAGCATTGATTATTGGTTTCTTTCTCAAGAGCCCGAATCCCAATCAGCAGTGTGACGATGTCAAAAAATACTGACTTTATTTTCTGTTGCATGTTTCTCCTTCTCCACTTTTGCCAAGGTGAGCTCCAGGTCATCAATGTCTTTCTTCAGCTCGGAGCATTCATCCTCCAGTTTCCTCTTCTTGGCAGTCAGTTCAGCATTGATTTCCTCCTCATCCTCCAGTCTCTCGCTTGTCTCTTTGAGTTTGGCCTCGAGCTGGATCTTGCTTTTGATGAGCCCTTCACATCTCTCCTCAGCATCAGAGAGGTTTTCAGATTCCTGTTCATTGACATGAATGTAGTTAATAACTTATGTTCATAGCTGTAGGATCTATATTAGGATCAATAAGAGCTGAAATACTCACAGATGTTACTTGCAGCTGAAGGTCATTTTTCTCTTGAATAAGTGACACCATTTTCTCCTCAAGCTCCTTCTTTTTAGCTAATGCCTTTGCTAGATCCTCCTTCATTTTCTCAAAGTTCTCCTTCATAGCTACCATTTCTTTCTCAGTCTCTGCACTCTTCAGAAGAGGCTTGATCTTGAAGTAGAGCTTCATCCATGGCCAATGTTTGACATTCATGAATGAGCGGATGTTGTATTGGATGGAATAAATTGCTTCTCTGTGTAAAATGTAATCAGTTAATCAGTCATTATCACTTTGTGGTTTTAAACAGTTGTGTTCCAGACCGTTTTGTAAGTTGATTGTACCTCCTCTCCATCATTTTGACAAACTCCTTCCTCATGACGTATCCACGGCACAAAGCCTGAGTCATGGTAACCAGTGTTGCTAGTTTCTCATCTCTCATCTCCTCAAGAGTACCCAACAGACCAGCTTTGAAGAACACCTACAAGAACATTTAGAAGATATTAGTGGTATAGTATTGAAGAAGGCGAGTAGTCCACTTCAACTTCGATGTGGCCTGGGGTACACTATATGTCCTCTTTTAACTAGTGAGTTTTATTTTTCTGTCAATTCCAGTGAAAAGAAATCACTTTTTACACCATGCAATGACATCCTAGAGAATTTTTTTGAAAAAGTTTTGGGAGGATCACTTTCTATCTTCAGCATGAACATATTTACTGTGAAATAATTTTTACTGGCACAAAACCTGAACCTCTGTTTAACACTTTTTGGATGAACTGGAATTCTGACTGCGAGCCAGATGCCATTGCTACACCAATGCATGACCTCACTTATGAATGGCAGCAAATCCTTGTGTTCATATTCAAACTCTAGTGCAAGGCCTCCCTTCATCAAGAGTTGCATAGAATTGTTTAAAGTCCCATTGTGTGGTGTAGTTTAGAGATCAGTTTTCACTGAAATTCTGGAATAACTGAGCCCGTAAAAGTTGTACTAGACCCAAAAATGAACATTTTGTAATTTATTCATGCTATTCATTTTGCACCCTACTTTCTTTGATTAGAGGAAAAACAACTGAAACATTCTTACAATACCACCTAAACATTCAAATATCTTCATTGTTCTTCCGCTGAGCTAGAAAAAGC